CTACATCCGATAGTTTGATTAAGTTAAATAAAATTGTTCTTTGTACAACATTAATTGTAACACAAATTTGTTATATGTAATTTTATTACATTATTTCAACTTATATGTTTCAATCAGTTCAACAAAATTCAAATTATACTTACACAAAAGTGGAGAAATGTTTTTGTCCTCATTCAAAATGTTACTGAATCAGTAGTCACAAAATGACATTTGAATCCTTAAAATTGACCACAAAAGCTATAGTTTTAGAAAACGCAGGATTTATTCTTAGAAAAATCTAGATTTTGTGATAGTCAACTTGCTAAAAAAGACAAATTCTCCTTTAAAAGACCACATTTATTGTGTTGCATTTTTAACAACAACTCCCTTAATGTACCAAAAACTATAAATAACTAAATAAAAGCACTGAAGTCTTCCACAGAAAATCAGAACACCAGAAAAATAGAATGCCTGACTTTGTTTCTGAACACATGCATGTCAACCTTTTCCAGTTGTAGTTTTGTGCAACACATCCTCTCACCCGAAGCATCTGAAAGATGCTGCATGACCAAGCGCTTGTTTCTGACACATTGGAGGCCCCAAAGTGTCGGGACGCGCTGTGCCAGAGCTTCGGTTTCCGACGCCCACGGTAAAACGCACATTTCACCGACATTTAAACTCTAACCTCCTGCTATTTAACCGTCCCCTCACCCCCATCCTAACCTTAACCCTGTTTCTCATTCTAAAGTTCCCGTTAACCGTGCTTGAGAGCGAATTTACAACTAGAAACAAAGGTTTTGTTTGTATGTATATATATATATATATATATATATATATATATATATATATATATATATATATATATATATATATATATATACATGAGACCGTTTACTCTATGAACGCTGTGTGTGAACCCAACTGGAGCATTTTAGTTCAGTGCCGTGTTTGTAAATGGAAAAAAAAAGAGCCAGCCTGCTTTTATTAAACATTTATAGATAACGTTGTTCAGTGAAGTGGGGCTGGAAGCTGTCTGTCAGGATGGATTCGTTGACTCACGGTGATCCTCACTGCAACTTTGCCATGAATGACCTTCTGCAGATGTTGCATCCAGCGTACCTCTCAGAAAGAGTTTGACACCATCTGGCTCCTTTCTTGTCCTCTCTGCATGCTCGGTGAGAAGTGAGAAAAAATATCTTGCAGCTTTGCTAAAAAAAGAAGACAGAAAGCGTCCAGATTGTTGCACAGACATGTGCTCTGTGCTTCATCCTACAGAGGGCTGCGTGGGCTGGAGTGGCACTAAGAGACACTTTATTAAAGTATTATCTATAGCTTCTGGCCCAACGAACCTGCTCAGTGTTCATTGTTTTCTGCTGCAGCTCAGACATTTGAGTCTATTGGTTTTCATATGATTTGATCCCCAGTTCAAATATCCAAAAATTTATGGTGCCATAAAACTCTGGATCCATTCAACAGAAGAGGGAGACGATGTCTCGTCTGAAAAGCATGTTGCTCCACGATCCTTCACCTTTGCTAAACTTCTCTTCACCCTCCTATCAGATATATGTGGGCTCTCGCCCCCTGTGCTGCCATGCTCAGTTGAACATCTCCAGCCCTGAGGTATGAGCACGCTTTGCCTCGGCTAATTTAGTCGAGGCGTGGGAGCTGAGAACAAGATGTGGCGTGTAACTTGACGTGAGTTCTGCTGCACATTTGCTCTAAAGATCATCAATTCTATTCTTGTCTTGGTTTTATTTTAAGTAAGGATGTGTTTTGAAGTGTTTTGTAAATGTTCAGTTGCTGTTCAAGACGGATGATGCCGGACAGCTTTGCCTTAAGTCTCAGTAGCGCCCCCGTTTGGTAATCTGAGTCCCAGAGTCATTTTACGGGCTCAACAGCTGTCGTGTTTTTCAAGAAGTTTGTTTTTAGTCCTTGTCTCTACCATCTGCACCACATTCACCCATGCATTCTTTCATTTCATAACATTATTTTATAACAGTGCAATCATATTAAGTTTAAGTGTCCTCCAAACAAACAACAGTATTTGTGTGAAGCCGGTGTATAATCCATTCAACATGCACTTCAGCTGAGAATGTTTTTGTGTTGTTTGGGACATTTGCGTCACTCACGTGTGTGTGAGATTTCGACTAAAATCATCCAGATATAATTGAAATAAGCACATAGCTGTTCTTTCAGTTTGGGGGAGAAGAGCAAAGACAAAATAACAAAAATGTTCCTTTACTTCTTGACATGAAGTGACCTAAAATGAACCTGCATCCAAACAAGCCGAGAGGTCAGGTCTGCTCTGCCTGCTTGACCCTCATCTGTCATTAAACCTGAAATCAGATGTGCAACAGCAGCTGCATGATATTTCCTGGAACAGAACTAGCCAGGCTGCACAGCATATGTTCTGATGGACCTTGGATTATCCGAAACCACGACAGACAGGAAGTGACAGCAGTAGCTCTGGTAGAATATCATAACAGAAGAATATATGAAAGCCTCACTGCCAAGCTTGCATGTTCTACCTGTGCATGTGTGGGTTCTCTCCGGCTTCCTCCCACAGCCCAAAGATATGATTGTCAGGTTAATGGGTCTCTCTAAATTATCCTTAGGTGTGAGTGTGTGTGTGTGCTTGATGTTTGTCCTGTGTGTCTCTGTTTTGCCCCGTGATGGACTGGCCAGGGTGTACCCCACCTGTTTGTCTGGTGACTGCTGGAGATAGGCACCAGATTGATGGTTGAAAAATAAGGAACATTCTGGATCTGCTTCTTTGCTTTCTGTATTATTTTCTATGTATTGAAAGCATCAAATCGGGACTCGGTATCAGCAGATTCCTAAAATGAAATGACTCGGACTTGAGGACTGAACATCTGATTGGGACATCTCGATTGAAAAAACAAGCACACAGCGAGGAGACCGGTTTTGCTTTGGGTTCTACTTACCAGACACTAGGGGGCGCTAAAACAAGACCTAACTGCCTAGTCTCTTTAAACTTTTCCTTTTCTGGCGGGACCTCGTCCCTGACCCGGCTTCTATCCTTTCCCAATCCAAAACCATGGTTTTGGATTTGGGGGAGCTGATTCTCATCCCAGCTGCTTCACACTCGCTGCTTCTTGGCTGTGCCCAGAAAATAGAAGTTGTGAACAGAACTGGTGACAAATGGCAGCCTTGGCAGAGTCCAACTCTCACCGGAAACAAGCCCGGCTTACGGACGTCTGTCCGATCACCTCCTCAGCTCCATTATCATAAGAGCGAAGGAGGAGCGAGTGGGGATGTGACGATGCACACTCTGTGACGCTAAATAAACAATGTAGTATAAGTTGAAACTGGGTCATTGAGGGATTTTGGGAGAATCCATCACCCTTTCGGGGGAGCTGGGCTCCTCTTGCTTCCTCGTAATTAAAACCCTGCTTTTAGGCAACGAGAAGAATTCTGGTTTCCTTTTTAAACAATGGTACTTAAAGCATAGTCGTGTTCTGGATGATTGAGAATCTACATCTCCTTACTGGTTTTAGAAAAATTTTAAATGACACAAGCTGAAAGAAATGTTGGAGCTCATTGAACTTTTCTTAAATTCAGTCTCACAAGAAAACATACAAGGATAAAAATAACGGAGTGGCACCTTGGGATGGGGCGTAATAAAATGCTCAGCTGTCCGGTTCTTCCACTCTGTTTCCCTGCCTTCGGTAGTGCCTCCTGCAGCAACCAGCTTGGTTAATCATTCTTTCTGTTTGGTGCTGAGTTGCAGAAGGTGATGCAAGGCGAGCTGCAGGAGGAAGTAAGAGTGTCAGTGAAACCTGACGTAAGGGAAACCCCTGAAACGCACCATGCAGCTGAGCAGAAGACAGAAGCTGCTTTCTCATGTGCACACACAAAACTGAATCCTTTGCTTTGCTTTAATCTCTAGAATGTGAATAGTGTGGGATTTTTCTAACTCTGTGGGAAACAAAATATTTGCAGCTTTTTTAATGACCCAGAACATAAAGTGATGTTTTTTGTGAATTGAAGCAAACACTTTTTTTGCTGTTAAGCCCTAATGTTGCATTACAAACCAGAGTCTAATGATGGTTGAAATATGTTCATGACCTGAACATATGTCTGATCCTGTTAAACACACGAGTCAGCACTGCTGCCTCATCTGGACTGTTCCTGACCCGATGTTAGACCAGACAAGAGTCATCCAGTCCCCTCTGGCAATCACAGCAATCAGCCTGTCTGCTAATGCTAAGTGCAGCTAATGGATGTTGCACTGAACAGGCCATTTAGAAAGTTGGGCTCTTGGTTCAGATGTAATCAAGTTCTGTTCCTAGCAGAGCTTTGTGATTTACAAGGCAGGTATTTTAGACTTCAGAGTATTTTCGGCTGCAAAGCAACAAAGCAGCACACACTGTCCGCCTCATCTTCTGAGCAAACACCTGCCCACTGCTAGCCAAAACACGTCAGCGTGACCCCACCTCCCACAAGACTGGAACAGAATGGAATTTGAAACGTTTTAGCCAAAAATGTTTCCATGGTCAAGGTGTTTTTTGCAGAAACGTTTCAGATTTCGTTCCGTTCTCCGGCTTCAGTGAAATCTGTTGGGAGTTTGTGGCGCTTGATATGCAGGTGAGTGACCTCTGGCACACATGGACACACACCGAACCAAACTCTGATTGGTTTTTATGTGTGAGCAGAGCCAACTGTGAGTCACTGTGCTGCTGAGCGAAGAAACAGTTGCCCTGCTGCGTGTTCAGTTCTGTACCTTTAAACAGAACATAGGAGCAGGGCTGGCTGGTCCTACAGTGGGAATCCTGAACTTTCTGAACAGCTACCTTGTTTGAATGGAAGTAAAACAAGCAATCAGCAACTCTCTTTATTTGACTTTCTCCATCTGCCTTCTAAATTTGGGATAATTGCACAGCGATAGATGCGACCCAGCCTTTTCCTGCTTTGGTCATCTTGTTATGTATGGCCAAGCTGAGCCAAGTTAATGTGTTTCCAATGAGCTTTGATGGATTGTGTGTCTCTGTGTCATTCAGACTGTGTGGCGAATGTAGATAAGCCCCCTTATGAGGTGAAAAACCCTCCCCATCCTGCAGTCTCCCCCCTCCAGCACCACCAGCAGGAATAAGGGATGTCAGGACGGTTCCACTTTTTAGCAGTGCTCATTGTCTCCTGTAACATCCAGGTGGGTCCAAAGAGCTCACACTAAAACACATGTACATATGCACAAGTTTATGAAGGTGCACAAAGTGAAACAATTGCAAACACACCTTCGAGCGATCGTCCTTGAACTGTGTGGTCATCAAACCCTAACCCTAACCCTAACCCACCACAAAGTTGAACATAAAAGCCAGTTCATTCTGAAAATTCCAACTTAACTTCTTGCTGTTGTTTCTGTAGACAACACTAAAACATCTCGAGATAACAGACCTCCAGGGTGTCTTTTATTTGACTTACCATCAGGTGTCTCCGGCTGCTTCGTTGGATAAGTTGAAGGATGACTGGGAACGGTACATGGAAGAATGTAAACAGAACAACTCTCAGAACCGCCCCAGCGCCGGTGAGCTACGATCTTATGGGCTGTTTTGTTTTCATGTTAAATGAAACTGATTTGTGGAGTTGGAGTTAATGAGAGATCATGTGTGCAGCATAGGTTGGGATTGCTAAATCTCTACCCGGGACATCTGTGTGTGGAAGCATCATTTATCTCTTTTTGACTTCTGGTTTGCAGTCAGAAAGTGTTTAATATTGTTTTTATTATTCTGGATCATTTTGAAAAGAAAAAGAAAATTGTTCAGGATTTGACACCCAAAGCTATCTGTTTAAAATAAAGCAGCAACATTTGATTTAATGGAAAAAGAGCATTAGTTCTCAGTTTTCCTATTTTTTTCCCATTTTCACTTGTTTCTGTTGAGACACAACCTCAGTGAACTTTGCACACAAACACTGGTTGTAGCTGAGACTCATGGCCTTTACAACAAAGGAGGAGAACAACAAATAATTTAACATGTTATGTGCTGCTGCTAACAGTGAAAGAAAGCTGTAATCTAGAGATTCTGACTCCGTCTGAGTCCAGTCTCCAACCTGAGGGCTACTCTCTCACATGTTTTAGATCAAAATGATTCAGTCCTGGTCCTCCAGAGCCACTACCTGCATGTTCTCTTCTGTTACCTGCTCTAACACACCTGGTTTAAATCAAAGGGTTATTAATAGGGATGGGACTTATGGCTCTTTGAAGGGAGCCGTTCCAAACACTGGTCCTCTGAGCGCCACTTGCCACCTCCTGTCTAACATTTGCAGCACCGCACTGCCTCTCTACTCACTTACTAAAAAACAAAATCAAGCTTCACTGATTAATTGTTTGACTTTCTCATGGATTCTGCCCTTCAGTTGCATTCCAGACTCCATGTTCATTACTTTTGACATGAAACAGAAAAAGCAATGCTGCTCCATCTTCTGAAAAACGCTGCTTCACACACTTTGTGCAAAATTGCACCTCTCAGCTCTTCGAGTCTTCAGCTCTCTGGTCCATTAGTGTGAAAGCCCACAGGCAGCTGCAGAAGACACGAGATCCATCTGCAGGTCCACCCACTAACAATCAACACTGATGCCATAATGAAATGTGGAAAGGTATAGATAAAGATAAAAGAGTCAGTGTAACTATACAGACACTATAAATACTTCCAGCCACCATCACTTCAAAAAGACTCTTATTGTGAAACTTAGATAAAGCTTTTAATGCCAATAATAAACATTTTTTTACTCTCAGGTCTTGTGTGCAACAGGACATTTGGCAATTATGCCTGCTGGCCCGATGGGCTCCCCAACAGCACCGCCAGCGTGGCGTGTCCGTGGTATTTACCATGGCACCATAAAGGTAAGCGTGAGAGTCACATGGCTGCAGAGTAACTCACAACCAAAGCTGTCACCAGTGTCAGGCTCACTCTCCATTTAACGTTTGTGCCTGTGTGCTCCTGCAGTTCGACACGGCAAAGTGTATCGGGAGTGTGACGCAAACGGCCAGTGGCTGATGGTGCAGAACACCAGTGAGTGTGATTTTCATGATGCAAGTCCGGTAAGAAAGGCCTTTAAAACCAATTATCATGAGAACAAACAGGTGTTGTCAGCATTCTGTCATATATATATATATATATATATGTGTGTGTGTGTATATATATATATATATACACACACACATATATATATATATATATATATATGTGTGTGTGTATATATATATATATATATATATATATATATATATATATATATATATATATATATATATATATATATATATATATATATATATATATATATATATATATATACATATATATATATATATATATATATATATATATATATATATATATACATACATATATATACATATGTATATACACACACTCAACAAAAATATAAACACAACACCTTTGTTTCTGCTCCGATTTTTCATGAGATGGACTTAAAGATCTACAATTCATTCCAGATACACAATATTACTATTTCTCTCAAACATTGTTCACAAATCAGTCTAAATGTGTGATAGTGAGCACCTGTGCTTTGCTGAGATAATCCGTCCCACCTCACAGGTGTGCCACATCAAGATGCTGATCCGACATCATGAGTACTGCACATGTGTACCTTATACAGCCCACAATAAAAGGCCACTCTGGAATGTGCAGTTTTGTCTCACAGCAAAATGCCACAGATGCTACAAGCATTGAGGGAGCGTGCAATTGGCATGCTGACAGCAGGAATGTCAACCAGATCTGTTGCTCGTGCATTGAATGTTCATTTCTCCACCATAAGCCGTCTCCAAAGGCGTTTCAGAGAATATGGCAGTACATCCAACCGGCCTCACAACCGCAGACAACGTGTAACCACACCAGCCCAGGACCTCCACATCCAGCAGGTTCACCTCCAAGATCGTCTGAGACCAGCCACTCAGACAGCTGCTGAAACAATTGGTTTGCATAACCAAACAATTTCTGCACAAACTGTCAGAAACCGTCTCAGGGAAGCTCAACTGCATGCTCGTCGTCCTCATCTGGGTCTTGACCTGACTCCAGCTCGTCGCCGTAACAGACTTGAGTGGGCAAATGCTCACATTCAATGGTGTCTGGCACATTGGAGAGGTGTTCTCTTCACGGATGAATCTTGGTTTCCATTGTTCAGGGCAGATGGCAGACAGTGTGTGTGGTGTCGTGTGGGTGAGCGCTTGGCTGATGTCAATGTGGATCGAGTGGCCCATGGTGGTGGTGGGGTTATGGTATGGGCAGGCATCTTTTATGGACGAAGAACACAGATGCATTTTATTAATGGCATTTTGAATGCACAGAGATACCGTGATGAGATCCCGAGGCCCATTGTTGTGCCGTACATCCATGAACATCACATGTTTCAGCAAGATAATGCACGGCCCCATGTAGCAAGGATCTGTACACAATTCTTGGAAGCTGAAAATGTCCCACTTCTTGCATGGCCAGCATACTCACCGGACATGTCACCCGTGGAGCATGTTTGGGATGTGCTTGACCGGCGTATACGACAGCGTGTACCAGTTCCCACTAATATCCAACAACTTCGCACAGCCATTGAAGAGGAGTGGACCAACATTCCACAGGCCACAATTGACAATCTGATAAACTCTATACGAAGAAGATGTGTTGCACTGCATGAGGCAAATGGTGGTCACACCAGATACTGACCGGTTCTGAGTCCCCAGACCCCCAATAAAGCAAAAAACTGCACATTCCAGGGTGGCCTTTTATTGTGGGCAGTATAAGATACAACTGTGCACTACTCATGATGTCAGATCAGCATCTTGATGTGGCACACCTGTGAGGTGGGATGGATTATCTCAGCAAAGCAGAAATGCTCACTATCACACATTTAGACTGATTTGTGAACAATGTTTGAGAGAAATGGTAATATTGTGTATGTGGAATGAATTTTAGATCTTTAAGTCCATCTCATGAAAAATCGGAGCAGAAACAAAGGTGTTGTGTTTTATTTTTGTTGAGTGTGTGTGTGTGTGTGTGTGTGTATATATATATATATATATATATATATATATATATATATATATATATATATATATGTATATATATATATATATATATGTATGTGTGTGTGTGTGTGTGTGTGTGCAAGCGTGTGTGTGTGTGTGTTCCCTAATTGTTGTAATTTGCAGCACTACTACAGACATATTTGGATCATGTACACAGTGGGCTATTCTCTATCCCTGGTGGCACTGGTTCTGGCTCTTGGCATCCTCATATTCTTCAGGTAATAATGTAATATAGACGCCCGTTCATTATCAAACAAAATGTTCCAGCATTCTGACAAAAGCTCTAAAATTTGTTATTGTAGCTATCACTGATCTGAAATACTTTTAAGAACCTGCCTGAATCTGAATTTCCAGGAAATTGCACTGCATGAGGAACAACATCCACATGAATCTGTTTGCCTCATTCATCCTGCGAGCGCTGTCGATCCTGATCAAAGACGCTCTGCTGGATGCCAACAACACATCTCAGCATCTCAGCAGAGAGCAGGACCAGGGATTCCCCAGTGCTTCAGTACCCCCAGTGGAGCTGATGGTCAACAATGCGGTCAGTATTGAACCAACTGTTTTACAGCGAACGGATCTAATCAATCCATCTCATCAAATCTAATCTCTTTTTTCTGCATCCTCACACCAGAACACTGTTAACTAGATCATTTTGCCTTTTGAATTGCCAAATTTTTGATGCATTTAACATTTGTGTGAAAAGTGCTTTGTCTCACTCCTGCAGACATCAATCAGCTGTCGCATCGCTGTGGTGATGATGCAGTACAGCATCATGGCTAACAGTTACTGGCTGCTGGTGGAAGGCATCTACCTCCACAACCTCCTGGTTATTACCGTGTTTACAGAGAGGAACTACTTCAAAATCTACCTGTGTGTCGGCTGGGGTGAGCTGGCCTGCTTTACTTATAGTACGACAAAACCTCCAAAACATAAATACAAAAACATAATTAGTAAAAAAGTTTTCTTCTTTATTCAGGTACACCATTAATTTTCCTCATACCATGGGTTGTTGCTAAATACTTTTATGAAAACCAAGAGTAAGTTTCCCTTCTTTATTTACCTTTTATTGTGTAAATTATTTACCTTTATAGTGATAAAGTATGTGTACACTAGTATGTGTGTATAAGTATATATATATATATATATATATATATATATATATATATATATATATATATATATATATGTGTGTGTGTGTATATGTGTGTGTGTGTGTGTGTGTGTGTGTGTGTGTGTGTGTGTGTGTGTGTGTGTATGCTCAGAAGTGGGATCGGATGGTGACAAGGAAAGGGAAGGCAGTCCACACAGAAGGGGTCTCACTCCCAGAAGTAACAATAGCAGACATCGTGGACAGCTACATGTCGTAGGGTGACAGTGGTACAGGAGTTAAGAGCTCGCCCTGTAATCGGAAGGTTGCAGGTTTTAGCCCGGGTCAGTCTGTCGCTGTTGTTGTGTCCTTGGGCAAGACATTTAACTCCCCTTGCCTGCTGGTGGTGGTCGGAGGGACCGGTGGCACCAGTCATCGGCAGGCCTCGCCTCTGTCGATTCGCCCCAGGGCAGCACCTGTACTGTACCACCAGTGTGTGAATGTGTGTGTGAATGGATGAGTGACTGATTGTGTTGTAGAGTGCCTTGGGAATTAGTAGGTCTTCGTCTTCGTCTTCGTCTTCCTCCGCTTATCCGGGTCCGGGTCGCGGGGGCAGCATCCCAATTAGGGAGCTCCAGGCCGTCCTCTCCCCGGCCTTGTCCACCAGCTCCTCCGGCAGGACCCCAAGGCGTTCCTGGACCAGATTGGAGATGTAACCTCTCCAACGTGTCCTGGGTCGACCCGGGGGCCTTCTGCCGGCAGGACATGCCCGAAACACCTCCCCGGGGAGGCGTCCAGGAGGCATCCTGACCAGATGCCCAAACCACCTCAACTGGCTCCTTTCGATCCGGAGGAGCAGCGGTTCTACTCCGAGTCCCTCCCGAATGTCCGAGCTCCTCACCCTATCTCTAAGGCTGAGCCCGGCCACCCTACGGAGGAAACTCATTTCGGCCGCTTGTATCCGCGATCTCGTTCTTTCGGTCATTAACCAAAGCTCATGACCATAGGTGAGGATTGGGACGTAGATCGACCGGTAAATCAAGAGCCTGGCTTTCTGGCTCAGCTCCCTCTTCCCCATGACAGATCGGCTCAGCGTCCGCATCACTGCAGACGCCGAACCAATCCGCCTGTCGATCTCCCGATCCCTCCTACCCTCACTCGTGAACAAGACCCCGAGATACTTAAACTCCTCCACTTGAGGTAGGACCTCTCCCCCGACCCGGAGGTGGCATGCCACCCTTTTCCGGTCGAGAACCATGGTCTCAGATTTGGAGGTGCTGATCCTCATCCCAGCCGCTTCACATTCGGCCGCGAACCTACCCAGCAAGAGCTGAAGGTCAGAGCTGGATGAAGCTAGGAGGACCACATCATCCGCAAAAAGCAGAGACGAGATTCTCCTGCCACCAAACTCGACACACTCCACACCACGGCTGCGTCTAGAAATTCTGTCCATAAAAGTGATGAACAGAACCGGTGACAAAGGGCAGCCCTGGCGGAGTCCAACCCTCACTGGGAACAGGTCCGACTTACTACCGGCTATGCGGACCAAACTCACGCTCCTCTGGTAAAGGGACTGAATGGCCCTTAACAGAAAGCCACCCACCCCATACTCCTGGAGCGTCCCCCACAGGATGCCCCTGGGGACACGGTCATAAGCCTTCTCCAAATCCACAAAGCACATGTGGATTGCTTGGGCAAACTCCCATGCCCCCTCCATCACCCTTGCAAGGGTATAGAGCTGGTCCACAGTTCCACGGCCAGGACGAGAACCACATTGCTCCTCCTCTATCTGAGATTCAACTATTGATCGGACCCTCCTCTCCAGTACCTTGGCGTAGACCTTTCCAGGGAGGCTGAGGAGTGTGATCCCCCTATAGTTGGAACACACCCTCAGGTCACCCTTCTTAAAGATGGGGACCACCACCCCGGTCTGCCACTCCCTAGGAACTGCCCCCGATGACCACGCAATGTTGTAGAGACGTGTCAACCATGACAGCCCTACAACATCCATAGCCTTGAGATACCCAGGACGAACCTCATCCGCCCCCGGGGCTCCGCCGCTGTGTAGTTGTTTGACTACCTCAGCAACTTCTGCCCCCGAGATCGGACAGTCCATCCCCAGGCCTCCCAGCTCTGGTTCCTCCTCGGAATGCGCATTGGTGGGATTGAGGAGCTCCTCAAAGTATTCCTTCCACCGTCCGACTATAGCCTCAGTTGACGTCAGCAGTTCCCCATCCCTACTGTAAACAGTGTGAGCGAGTTGCTTCCTTCCTCTCCTGAGGCGCCGGACAGTTTGCCAGAACCTCTTTGGAGCCGATCGATAGTCTTTCTCCATGGCCTCACCAAACTCCTCCCACGCCCGAGATTTTGCCTCGGCAACTGCCACTGCTGCACCCCGCTTGGCTATCCGGTACCTGTCTGCTGCCTCCGGAGACCCACAGACCAGCCACGCCCTGTAGGCCTCCTTCTTCAGCCTGACGGCTCCCCGAACCTCTGGTGTCCACCAGCGGGTACGGGGGTTGCCACCACGACTGGCACCGGCCACCTTACGACCACAGCTAGCAACAGCCGCCTCGACAATCGCAGAGTGGAACAAGGCCCACTCGGACTCAATGTCCCCCACTGCTCTCGGGACGTGGTCAAAGCTCTGCCGGAGGTGGGAGTTGAAGACCGTCTTGACAGGTTCTTCTGCCAGGCGTTCCCAGCAGACCCTCACTATGCGTTTGGGTCTGCCAGGTCTACGCGGCATGTTCCCTTGCCATCTGATCCAACTCACCACCAGGTGGTGATCAGTTGACAGCTCCGCCCCTCTCTTCACTCGGGTGTCCAAAACATACGGCCGCAGGTCAGATGATACGACTACAAAATCTATCATCGACCTGTGACCTAGGCTGCCCTGGTACCAAGTGTACCGATGGGCATCCTTATGTTCGAACATGGTGTTCGTTATGGCCAAACTGCGGCTTGCACAGAAGTCCAATAACAAAACACCGCTCGAGTTCAGATTAGGTGGGCCGTTCCTCCCAATCACACCCCTCCAGGTCAAGCTGTCATTGCCCACGTGAGCATTGAAGTCCCCCAGCAGGACAATGGAGTCCCCTGATGGAGCACTATCTAGCACTCGTCCCAGGGACTCCAAAAAGGGTGGGTACTCTGAACTGATATTTGGCCCATAAGCACAAACAACAGTCAGGACCCGTTCCCCGACCCGAAGGCGCAAGGAAGCTACCCTCTTGTCCCCCGGGGTAAACCCCAACACACAGGCAGAGAGTCTCGGGGCTAACAAAAAGCCAACCCCAGCCCTCCGCCTCTCACCCGGAGCAACTCCAGCAAAGTAGAGTGTCCAACCCCTCTCCAGGTCTCGGGTTCCAGAGCCAATGCAATGTGTCGAGGTGAGTCCGACTATATCTAGCCGGTACCGCTCAACCTCTGCCACAAGCTCCGGCTCCTTCCCCGCCAGCGAGGTGACGTTCCATGTCCCAAAAACTAGTTTTCTTGTCCGGGGATTGGACCGCCAAGGCTCCCGCCTTGGTCTGCCACCCGATTCGCATTGCACCGGACCCTTCATGTTCCTCCTGCGGGTGGTGGGTCCACAGTTGGACGAGCCCATGTATCCGGTTCGGGCTGGGCCCGGCCGGGCCCCATGGGCGAAAGCCCGGCCACCAGGCGCTCGCTCACGGGCCCCAACCCCAGGCTTGGCTCCAGGGTGGGACCCCGGTAACCCTCCGGGCCGGGTACTCCGACTCTTCGTTTTAACCGCCATGAAAGATCCTTCGAACCGTTCTTTGTCTCACCCTTCACCTAAGACCAATTTGTCATGGGAGACCCTACCAGGGGCACTAAGTGCCCCAGACAACATAGCTCCTAGGATCATTAGGGCACTCAAACTCCTCCACCACGATAAGGTGACGGTTCAAGGAGGAGGAATTAGTAGGTGCTATATCAAATACAGGCCATTTACCATTTAGCCACAAGTACCTTGGTATCCCACAAGCAAATTTGACCTTGATGAGGCCACAAGAAAAGGAGCCACAGTCAAATACCTATAGTGAATAAGGCAAGTCCTATGAAGTCAGCTCGATGACAAGAACAAGATCCGAACAATAAACAGCTACGACCTGCCAGTAATCAGATACACTGCAGGAATAATAAGCTGGCCAAAGGAAGAAATACAGACAACAGATGTTGAGACACAGAAGTTACTAATCATACATGGAGGATTCATCCCAAATCCAGCACCCTGAGACTGTACACTAGCTGTAAGGCAGGAGGCAGAAGATTAGTGAGGGTGAGAGCCGCTGTCCAGGATGAATTATCCAAAATCCATAAGTACTTCAAGGACAAGGCCCCAACAGATGACGTGCTCAGTGAATGTCTCAGACAATGTCAAACAGAGGAGGAGAAATACCATCGTGGGAGCATAAGCCCCTAGAAAGAGCTGGTCTGAAGGACAGCACAGAGGCACTCATCATAGCTGCACAGGAACAGGCCCTGAACACCAGAGCAACAGAGGCCAAGACCTACCACACCAGACAAGACCCAAGGTGTAGGCTATGCAAAGAGGCCCCTGAGACAATCCACCACATAACTGCAGGGTGTAAGATGCTGGCAGGAAAAGCTTACATGGAACATTACAACCAAGTGGCTGGTATCGTGTACAGAAACATCTGTGCAGAGTATGGACTAGAAGCCCCAAGGTCAAAGTGGGAACACCCCTGTAGGTGGTTGAGAACGAGATAGCCAAGCTCCTGTGGGACTTCCAGATCTAGTCTGACAAAATGGTGGTGGAGAACTAACCAGACAGGGTGGTGGTGGACCAACAACAGAGGACAGCTGTTGTGGTTGATGTGGCAATACCAAGCGCTGCAACATCAGGACAAAGGTACATGAGAAACTAGAGAAGTACCAGGGCCTCAAAGGAAAACATGAACAAGTCTGGAGGTGATGCCTGTGGTCATCGGGGCACTCGGGGCAGTAACCCTGAAACTGGAAGAGTGGCTAAAGCAGATCCCAGGAAAAACATCAGATATCTCAGTCCAGAAAAGTGCAGTTCCAGGAACAGCTAAGATTCTAAACCCTCAAGTTCCCAGAAATCTGGCAGAGGACCCGAACTTGGAAGGATGCGAATAATTAACAAAAACTATTCATGATAATAAACAATGTAACCTAATACTATAATAAATACTATAATGTAACTATATAATACTATAATAAATAATATCATGTACTATGTTCAGTGCCTTGGGCTTCCCGACAGGGTTGCGGAAGGCGCTTTATAAACAAAGCTTTGATTTGATTTGATTTAATACTGAAAATATTTTAGTCATATATTTTTTTGTGCTTAAAATCACTAAAGTGGAGGAGTTTAAGTATCTCGGGTCTTGTTCAAAAGTGAGGGAAAGCTGGAGCGTGAGATCGATAGGCGAATTGGTGCAGCATCTGCAGTGATATGGGCGTTGTACTGATCTATTGTGATGAAGAGAGAGCTGAGCCAGAAGGCGAAGCTCTCGATTTACTGGTCGATCTACGTTCTTACCCTCACCTATGGTCACGAGCTTCGGGTAGAAAAGAATGAGATCGCTGATGCAAGCGGCTGAGTTTTCTCCACAGAGTGGCTGGGGCCCTTAGAGTTACGGAGAGAAGCGCGACCATCTGGGAAGGGCTCGGACTAGATCCGCTGCTCCTCCACATCGAAAGGAGCCAGTTGAGGTGGCTCGGGCATCTGGTCAGGATGCCTCCCTGGTGAGGTTTTCCGGGCACGTACAACCGGGAGGAGGCCTAAATGGAGGCGCAGGACACATCGGAGGGGCTATGTCTCTCATCTGGCCAGGGAACGCCTTGGGATTCCCTCGAAAGAGCTGGCACAAGTGGCTGGGGAGAGGGAAGTCTGGGCCCCGACCCTAGATAAGCTGAAGAAAATGGATGGATGGATGGATGGATGGATGGATGGATGGATGGATGGATGGATGGATGGATGGATGGATGGATGGATGGATGGATGGATGGATAGATGGATGGATGGATAGATGGGCTAAAAATCCCAGGTGAGTTGGTGTGACTCTCAGAACCACTTCCCCACTGGTACCCAAAAACCATCATGGCTGCACCTGTATGTGAGAAACTTTTGCTTAATTTTTGAGGGAAAAGAGATGATGCAAGAGATGGTGCATCAATCTTTATTTATGCCCTGGGGACATTTTGGGAACGGAGGTGCCCATTGGGGCCAGTGGGGGAGCTGGCTCCCTGGATGGCTTTTGTCCAACCAGCCATTCCTCCCCATCCCCACACATTTTTCTCCTCCTTCTCCCTCACATCATCACACAAACATGCACATAGGACCTTGGGGGCGGACAAGTCAGAGGGTGCGGGTATGGACCCCATTTCCGCATTTCTGTGGCAACCTGCCCCCCAATTTTATTTGCCCCTTAAACACTTCCACCAGTGACATTCCACGCAAACACACACTTAGGGCCTTGGGAGTGAACACATTCAACGGCATTTGGCAGGGGGATTTTTCAGCCTTATCCCGAGTGCCGGTGCCCACTTCCAATTTTAAACTGCACTTAGATACTGAGGGTTGTGGGTGCAAGTGGGATGGGGTGGTGGCATCAGCTGACGTAGGCCAGACGATGCCCGCACTGATCTGTGGCCCCTCACACTCTCTATTGGACGCTCCTATAGAGAAACCTTACATATACAAGCGCGGGTACTTTCACAGGTGCTCATATGGTGCTCTCAGAAGTATGGACTTGGGCACGTTCAACACATGTCTTAAGGCTGTGGTTGGCACTTAATGTGCTGCGATTTATTATCGTGTGATTGTTCAGTAAAACAATGCTTATTTTATATTTCCTCATTAGGTTCACTCAGTGATAGCTTGCTCCTGTTGTGTTGTTGTGTGTCCCCTTCTTTTTTGTTTGTTTGTTTTTCATTAAAATAAATACAAAGCTGTAACTAGTTAAAATACATGTTATTTAATGAGCCATAAGACATAAGATTCCATGGGAAATATGAAATCAACCTTGTGGATCTGTGGGTACTGTTTAATCAGAAGATTGGAACTTTTTATTGCAGGGATTATGTAACCACTTCGTATTAACTCAGAGACAAGAGAAGAAAGAGTCAAGTTTTAAAAGTTTAAAGATTTATTAATAAACAAATTAAAACTAGACTAACTTTAACACTAAATGTATGGTGTAACTAAGATGGAATGAGACGGAGAATGGTGTAGTGTGGAATGTTGTTCAGAACCAGCAAATGCGAAGAAATGATTAGTTCTGGTGGGAATGAAGGTGATGCCTTGAGCTAAGCTTTGATTAGGAGATTCATAAACACATTTGACGCCATTCTGTCGGCCTACGTACCCTAGTGGAAGCCCCCGTCTAGATCAGGAGGTGTAGAGGTCCAGCTTGGACCTTCCTGGAGCCGAAGCTTGTAGAACAGCAGCGGCAGCCGATCAGTCCAGTCTTTGAGATACTTCCGGGTCACGACAGTTTATCGGCATCTAACGAGACCCAAAATGGGGTCGTGATGGTTCAGCTGTTATTCTGAAAGGAACTGTTGCAGCAGGTGGAACGGCAACAGGTTTATCCAGCTTGTCGTTGGTTCTTTCGGCTGAAGAGGCGAGTTACGGATTGGCCACTCCGTCAACTTCTCTAGAACGCTTTGAACTGGCGTTAAAGATGACGTGGACATAGTTTTATACTTTGGATGTTTTGGTTTATGGTCGAATGAAAAGATGACAGATTTACCAAGAACCACCAAAACCACGCCTCCATCAGATCTGGCAGATTCTGATTGGATCAGTAAAAGCAATGTGTCATGTCTTTTAACGCTATGTGTGATCAGTCCTAGTGGAAACATTTAAAGTCATATTACGTATTATATTCTATAGGATTATAATAAAGTAATTGATATTTTGATATCACAGATTGGTCACATCTTATTATTGACTAACACTTTGTTTGATTAGCTTTATTAAAAATAGAGTTCTTTGATTTATTAAAAGGAGAGAGTCCTTTTCTTCATTCTTCTCTTGGGCTGGAAAGGAAGCAGTTTAGAGCAAATGCACGAGACCTTGAGGCAATATCTCATGCAGACTAGTTCTGTGTCAGAGGAGAGGGGCAAATTACTTTTAGGTGGAAAACAGTCATTTCATTCCATTACAAAGCTGTACTCTGCTACCCACAAAGTATTTGTTCAGTGTACTTGGGCAATGTTGATGTTGATTTTTTTTTTTAGTTGGCAAAAATTGTCTAAACTATTTAGTTGGTTCAACTCCAGACACACCTTTGGTAAAATAATCCACCTTTTATTAGTTTCCAGAGTTTGTTTAGCTCTGAGTTTAAATTATGCCATTATTTGTTGTGGTTGCCACACATGGTCAGCATTTGTAAAAACAAAAAGTCTAAATGTTTGATGTCACCATGGACGTTTCTCAGCACAAGAAAGCAGAGATTTGTCTGGATGTCATGTTTTCCAGTGTTGTTGGGTAAAACGTTAGACATTCACCTCATTGAGTTAAAAACACCAGTTCAGTCTGGTGTTAAAGACAGGACTGGTTACTGGTTTAAATGTATTTCCTTTTCAGGTGCTGGGAGCAAAACATCAACATGAATTACTGGTGGATAATCCGTGCACCCATACTCGTTGCTGTTGTGGTAATGTCTTCTAAATCTTTGTGCTTCTTTTCTTTTTTTTGTTCTAACTTTGGCACTAGAATTTACATTATCTCCTGATCTTAAAGGGTTAGGATAACCTGACTGCAGCATGTTTTCACAATAAAAACACACCTCATTTATCCATGACATGTAAAAGGCTGGTTGTGCTTCGGATCTAGCAGCATGTGCAGAATCATACGAGTTTGGACCAGTAAACAGGATGAGCTACAGTTCACGTGTGCTCTACGAGCATCAGATCTGCACACGTGTGAAGCCCTGATTGGTTGTGGCTTCTATGAGAAGTCAGACATCCTGGCTTTTTCCACGCATTAATCGTCCTGCTAAGTGGCCTGTATCCTGCAGGAATTCCTCTGTAGGAGTTTTGTAGGAATGGGAGGACCGTCCTCCATTTTGAGATCAATATCAGAGTAAAAATAGAAACAGATAAACAACGTGTGAATAAGAGGATTCCTCCCAATTAGGTGACATTTTCTGCTAATCTTGAATCATAAAGGAACATACATGAAATAGAAGTGGACAATCACACATTCAGAACAAACAAATGCTTTTTGGTACTGAACAGATTCAAGATAACACCTAGAAAATGTTTGCACGTCTAAATGAGTTCTGGCACGTTTTCTTAATTCAAACTCTAAAAAATTAAAACCTTAAAGGTTACGTCATGTGAGTTTTTCATCAGAAGAATGCCTGCTGCTTCTTTTAAATGCCAGATGGTGTGAAAAGGCAGCCTAAAATAATCTGCTGCTGTTTTCCATTTACTGTAAATGCATTTAATAAATGCTAGACGTGGGATTATTTGGACATTTAGTTGACTTTTTCTCTTAAGGTGCTCATTAAACACTTGTACTTTTTGTGAATTTGTAGTTTTGTCATCCTACACACAGTAATTTATAGTTTTGTGATTTGGACTCATTAACTTGTTCTAACCTCCTCCCTCTATCCTATAAAATATGACGGTGCACATTCTGGTCATATTCTGTCTGCTCTACGAAGCAGCATCCAGTCAGTTTTGCAGCAAACTGCAGATTTCAAGCATCTGCTTCTGTTTTCTGTCTCGTCATCAATAAACACAAGTGACCCAGAGCGTCTGGAAGCCATGCATGTCGTTGCTATTACTCCGCCTCCATCAGTTTTAATGATGGTGTGCTTCGGGTCATGGATCATTAATAACACTCTTAGGATCGTTTTATTTAGTTGAACCATTTGAGGGAATGCTGCATTTTGGGATGTTGCAAAGCCTCCAGTGGGTTTTAAACTTTTGTTTCTTCATTTGAAATCGTTTTTGTGAATTACTCATTCAAATGTACTCACAGTGAAGTTTGGATTTTTGTCAATATAAGTATGTTTTTATCTTCCATGAACATCTAGCTTCTTTTCAGTCTCCTAATTTAATATTTAGGAGAAAATTTGCCAAGCAGATAATAACAGCCCTTCAAGCACGACGGAAAGAAGCACAAGAAATATATTATAAATATTAAATCAGATCATAAATTCAGCAATACCCAGTGTTTTCAATAGGAATGGCTTCACTCTAGAAGTCTTTCAGTGAAAAACGTCTGAGGTTTCACTTCAAATCCAGAAGTTTGTGGGGAATTCCTCTGGTGCATCTTTTCCATTTGCATCTGGCAGAAAATAAAAAACAGCAATAAATATAACAGTAAATAAAATCATGTTTGACATTTAATACGGTACAATAACGTTTTTTTTTTTCACCTATTTTGTCTTTTTCCCATTCAACACGGTTGCAAATCACAATAACTCATGCTTTAGGTTAATAGATTATGGAATAAACAGAAATGAAATATAAATATCCAGTTTTATTCAAATTCTTTCAAATTGAGTCACAGGCATTAAAAATCTTCTAAACTCACATTAAATCTAAGTAAAACAGTTTCATACAGCTTAACTTTAACAGAAAAAACTGTGAAAGTATTTACTTTTTAAAATAAGCAATATTTTTGCAACACGATCATCTGTTGTCTTTTTGCTTTTCACAGGTTAACTTCCTGATCTTCATCCATATCATCAAAATTCTTATTTCCAAACTCCGCGCACACCAAATGAGATACACAGATTATAAATTCAGGTGACTTTAAACAACTTTTCCTGCAGACATTTGGGTTTTGCATGTTCTTCCTTGGAGCTCAGTTCATGTTTTTTTTTTTAATTTCTCAGGTTGGCAAAGTCGACTCTGACCCTGATCCCACTTCTGGGGATCCATCAGGTGGTCTTTATCTTTGTGACAGACGAGTCCACCAAAGGAACCATCAGTTTACGTCTCACTAAACTCTTCCTTGACCTCTTCTTCTCCTCATTCCAGGTTGGAAAAAAACACAACTTCAAATCCAAACCCAAAGCTATTTCTGCACTCACTGATCATTTTCATGCATCTAGACACCGATTCCAAATTTAGAGGAGTTGTTTAGAGCTGGTGTCAGAACGGATTATTTTAATACTCTGTAATTATCCATACAGACTGTTAACCACTGTGTCACGCCAACACGATGGCAGACCTTTAAGTTTAGGAGTCCGAGATGATGGATGAGTCACAGAAACAGAACAAGAGACAGGATGATGTAGAGATGATCCCTGAAGAAAAACTGGAGGGGGACACATGTGCAGCTGTAGCCTAGTGAACTAGACCAAATTCTTGCTTTGCAAAGTTTGGTCTAATACATTTATTTAGTCTGGCTTGCCAGGCTAGTGCAGCTGTGCTTTCTTCAGAAACACAGATCTGCATCAAAAGCACATGTTCATCACATTCAGTAAAAAACTGTTTTAACAGATTTTAATGTTATAGGGTCTTTTCTTCAGCTTTGAGTATATTTGCTATGCTTACAGTGTATTAGTAACCCTGCACTGATGAATCAGACAGATTTAAAAAGTGTCCTCTGTTCATTCAACTCGGTAACATAGTTCTCCTAAACACACGCAGCTGCTCGGTGAGTTGTTTTCTTAGTGGACCACACTGAGAAAATGTGTCTGATATTCTGCAGCAGAGCAGCTTTGCAGCTGTTGTTGAAAAATAATAAAAACAGATTTGATTTAGCTGAAGGGAATAAAGAGCAGCAGGCAGAACAAAATCCTTGTCGTATGAATTTGTATGAAAGACTTGTTTGGTCTCAAACTAAGTTTGAAGGGTTATTTGGGGCCAATTTAAAGTAAGTTGATGTACAAAAGTTAGAAAAGGATAGTGTCTTGTCTGTACTGTTGCAGAGTTCCAGTCTCTAAACCTGCACAGCAGTTTATGCAACATCATTTTATAAAGCTTTACCGGTGGTTATTTGCATTAAAGGTTACATCACTAGCAGCACACAGTGTTACTGCAGGTGCGTCCAGTAGGAATTTCCTCTAAGTTCGTCCAAAATGGCAGCTAAACCAATGATGGTGTCTAGTAGAAATAAGTGGAAATGGTTTTGAGGGTTAATGCCGTTTTCAGATAGTTGTTCAGCTCTGACCGGTGAAAAAGTACTAACTTTAGTTTAAATGTTTCTATTTGAATTCTATTGAATGCCATTCCTCATGGAAGGTCAGCAGTCACTAGAACGGAATAGGCCTGATCAGTGGAGGGTCCAGGACTAGAATCATGCTAATCAGAATCTCAGTTGACTGGAATCGCCAGATGAAAAACACTTCTTTATTAGTAAAATATTCATGTGAGATTTAGGAGATGGGGTACATTTTTATTCTGCAAGTCGGCACTTTGGTCTTGAATCCAATTATGGGAGAAAAACAAACATTTGATGTTTCAGATTACTCCGGTCTTCCACATTTAAAAGCAGAATGTGCAAACATTATTGTTTAAAGTTTTACACGTCCACTCCATCAAGGATGCAGTGTAAGGTTATTTCTGCAAAAGCACTGAGACTTCACAGAAGCACTTGTCAAAGTGGCCCAAAATGTGTACATCTGAAGTGCCAAAACATATCAGCATCTTTGTATATTAAATGCATTTCTTTCACTCTATTTCTGTCATGGCTAGTGTTGGTTGTATCGGATTAGATTTGTGCCAATAGGATAAAGAAAAACACTTTGAAGATCAAACAAATATTAAGACATTGAGAGAAAATGAAATGTTTCAAAAGAAAAACTTACGATCTGAATCAACTTCTTAAAATGAGTAACAAAGTATGTTTCCTTTTTTTGTTTGCCTCTATGTGTTTTTGTTATCAATTTCCTGAGTTTCATTCTCGCTGCTCAGAGCTTTGCTCTCACTACCAGATTTGCACTTACACTTTCTGGCTTTCTCCTTTGCAATCCCTGAGTTTTTGGTTGCAATTCTGACACAACCCTTTCGGTGGGTGGGACTTCTGAGAAGTCCTCTCCCATAGGACAGTGGTTTCTCTTGAGTGACAGTTCAGTGACCCGGAAGTGATGTAGCCTATGACTTTTTTTCCCCCCACCTCGGTCAACAACATGAATTTTGAGCCCCAAACACGTTATTTCTGCTGTCTGTGGTGTCTACTGAGGATCTAAAGTGAGTATTGATAATATATTTGATCTTTTCTTAGTTAATCTGTAAGTTAAGCCACTTTTTAAGTTGGTTTTAACCAGACGTTAGCTCACTAGCGAGCTGCTAAGCGAGCCATTGTGCTAGCCTCAGGACAATGGTCTATTGTTCCAGAGAGACGTATTAAAACACATCTTAACATATTCATTACTGGTTCATGGAATTAATTATTGCAGTTTATGTTAATAAGTTTGCTAATTTTTCAGGAACCTATGGAACATCAGAGACTTTGCAGCTACTGGAGCTAACCTGTGTACTGCTAACTTGCTACAGAGGAAGCAGCAGAAAGCTGAGCTAACAGGCTGTTTTGCAGGTGAACACTCTTTTAGTGGAACTGCAGGATTTTTATGGTATAACTCAGACAGAATCTACATGAGCTATTGTGGGAGGACATTTAAACTACATTTACATACAGATAAATGCATTTTTTATTCCATGTTACTTGGATGGGCTAAACAAGTTCATAGTTCTGCCTGCTCCTTTTTCAGTGAAACGAATGGATTATATGATGTAACTCTGACTGAATAATTATCTAAGTGAGTGTGTTTGATAATAAATTTCTTACCAGTATACAGATCTGACATTTGTTTGTCAGAACAGGACAAATCAGATTCAATGTGCTTTCTGTCACGTGTTCTGTATTCTTCATCAAAAGAATGTTATCCAGGGCAGACAATCAATAATGAGTTTAATACATGCTTTTAATTAATTTTTACATAAAATCTATATTTTTGTCTAAAAGCTATTGATTTATTCTTTTCTTTCTTTTTAGATTGAAAATTACTGCATTGCATTACAATGGAAGTGCTACACGGCCACATGCATCAACTGCAGCTGGTGAGCTAAGACACACCATAGTGTACACAAAGAACACTGCAGACAAGGGATGTAAGAAAATATCAATATGACAATATATCGCAATATATTTTCCCAGTGATATTGTATCGATATTCTCAAACTGTGTCTCTAAAATATCGATATGGCTATATATGGTGATATATTTTCCTGAGATATTACATCGATTTTCAAAAGCAGTGTATCTAATTTTTGGAAGAATTTACATGCAAACATTTGTGTATTTTCTTTGTTTTTGGTGCACTTTAAATGTCGACCGCTAGTCGGCAGCAGTGTGCATTGGGTTTTGTTTCCAGCATTGAAATTTAAATCTCGCTATTATGGTTCAGATAACTCATGTTATACATGTTAAGTGTCAGTTTGGACTATTTATTGAATATTCCTACAATAAATTCAGTCAAAAATACACATCCCTACTGCAGACCAATCCCACCTCATGTAGTTCATAGGCTGTATAATAAACCCACAGTGATGGTTATGGATAAATATCTGTACTAATGGTAATCTTTTTCCATTGTTTCCAGTTGACAAGCATATGGACCTATTGTTCGAGTCTGTGGTGGTGGATGCTCTACCATATCAGGAGTCGGTGGTGGTGGATGCTCTACCATATCAGGAGTCGGTGGTGGTGGATGCTCTAGCATATCAGGCATCTGTGGTGGTGGATGCTCTACCATATCAGGAGTCTGTGGTGGTGGATGCTCTAGCATATCAGGCGTCTGTGGTGGTGGATGCTCTAGCATATCAGGCGTCTGTGGTGGTGGATGCTCTAGCATATCAGGTGTCTGTGGTGGTGGATGCTCTACCATATCAGGAGTCTGTGGTGGTGGATGCTCTAGCATATCAGGCGTCTGTGGTGGTGGATGCTCTACCATATCAGGAGTCTGTGGTGGTGGATGCTCTAGCATATCAGGCGTCTGTGGTGGTGGATGCTCTAGCATATCAGGCGTCTGTGGTGGTGGATGCTCTAGCATATCAGGCGTCTGTGGTGGTGGATGCTCTAGCATATCAGGCGTCTGTGGTGGTGGATGCTCTAGCATATCAGGTGTCTGTGGTGGTGGATGCTCTACCATATCAGGAGTCTGTGGTGGTGGATGCTCTAGCATATCAGGCGTCTGTGGTGGTGGATGCTCTACCATATCAGGTGTCTGTGGTGGTGGATGCTCTACCATATCAGGAGTCTGTGGTGGTGGATGCTCTAGCATATCAGGAGTCTGACTAAGTACCTGTGCCTGAACCTCTCTGTGTCTAGTTCAAAAGACCTGAACGACCTGCTGTAATCAGGCACAGGTTAAGATTTTAAAAGAACCTGTAAGATGAGCAACACAACAGAATATAAATCTTTATTATTATTGTACGCTGTACAGCTAGAGTAAACTTGCATGCTCAGAAGCCACGTATGATTACATCGCCTTCAGGTTGCCTGATGCTGAACTTCGGGCAGCTGCGCGTGACTGTACTCCCGTGGAACAACCGCCTGTTGGAGGAGTCGTCGTGTTGCTGTTAGGAGTTTGGGTCGGAGTCCTGGGTTTGTGTTCCCTTTAATCTCTTCCTTAGCCTTGCTAGTCACCATTGCAGAGCACCATGGAGAGGCTTACCTGAAAACTCTTCTCATGGGGCAGGCACATCCTCACACACACCTGTTACCCCATCCTTGAATAAAAGCTGGTAGCTGGTCACTCATCAGAGTGTTTTAACCCATATCTAGCCCATGACTCTGCCGTTTTTCAAACTTACGTTCTCATTTTCTATGCAGATCTATGGAAATTCTTTCCTTAAAGCTCCTGATCACACAACCGTACTGGCAGTCGGCTTACCCACTACCTTCTGCTCACCCGCTTGCTACTCATGCTGTCATTCTCCCAGACTTCTGGTTGTTTCTCCACCATTCTGCTGTCTCCCGTCTGCGCTACAACTTCAGACCGTAAGGACCTAAACTTTTCCTTTTGTAAGTTATTCTTTAGTCATTACTAACACTCAATTTTACCTCAGGGCCTTCTGATCTTTAAACACTAAAACCTGTGGCTCCATCTCTGTGGCGTTTCTCAGTCTCTGTAAGCTACCCGCACAGTCTAAGAAAACCCTGACCTGTTGCCTCTTACTAACCTCTGCTCTTCCTCGCAGAAGCTTCTGGTTCCTGATCTCCAGCTGTTACCTCTTCAGTCATCCGTCAAACATTTTAATAAACTGTTTTTAGCTCATTTGTCTCCTGAGTTTCTCTGCATGAAGGTCAGGTTATTGCAAAAATCATGACATCAGCAATTACTTTGCACCACTCTGTTAAACAGCTGATATTAATTTCAAGTGTATCTTTAAAAATACATTGAATGTCAAAGTGAATGAAAGGCATCCATTCAGCTTTCTGTGTCTAATGCAGGATTTTATGGACAGGCACCAAAACAGGAAATTTATAAATTGAGATTTATTTACTAAATCAGGTAAACCGTAATAAAACACTAATGTTTAAAGTCCGGAGGAGGGAGGAAGGCTTTATAGCAGGGGTATTCAATTCTAGTCCTGGATGGCTGGTATCCAGCACGTTTTAGTTGTTTCCCTGCTCCAACACACTTGAATCAGTGGTTGAATTACCTGTGCAGCAGCTCTGCAGAAGCCTGTTAATTATCTGCTGACTGAAATCAGGTGTGTTGAAACAGAGATAAAACTAAAACGTGCCGGATACCGGCCCTCCAGGCCCAGAAGTAAATACCCCTGCTTTATAGGCACAGAGAACTCCCATCATGATCCTGGAGACGGCACAAGGAGATGACGACATGAGTGTGCCCTCCCAGATCACACCAACACCACCTGACCACATGGAGGCATGTGTCTGTAAGAAAAACTGGTGATGTATGAGATCTAAACAAAAACTACGACCAAAATCAATTTTACAGTTGTTTAACCTGCTGAGCATCGCCTCCCCAAAGAGCTGCACAAAGGTGCAACTGGCTCAGAACCAGGGTGCTCCGTTATGCAGGTGGTCGCCTCCTCCTGCTGACACCCGAAGATTACCTACAACAAAGGGAAAACTGATATGAATAAGGAAATAATTAAATCAGAGCTAAAAGTTTAATTTTTGTGTGACGTTTGAGATTGTGTGAAATGAATGTGGACATGATTTTTTATTGTGGGGTCAGTACCTTGGGCGTTTCTCTGTAGCAACATTTTGTCTGGCTGACAATGAATTAGAAAAGTCACCAGTTGAGGCAGAGTTAGACTTTATTACTCCAGCTAAGCTAAATGTAGCTAAACTAGACACTAGTCACCAGACTATAGTTACTATAGATTTTATTAGATTTAATGAAGGCATCAGCTGTGACATAGAAATTGGTGTGTGTTTATGTATGTATTAGGTGTGACAGAAAAATAGGGTTGTAATTATTTCCATGCCAAACAAGCTTGTGAAATAAAAATGCTTGTGGTGCAATACACCATTACAATTCTGACACAACCCCGAAAGGGTTGCAACCAAAAACTCAGGGATTGCAAAGGAGAAAGCCAGACAGTGAAAGTGCAAATCTGGTAGTGAGAGCAAAGCTGTGAGCAGCGAGAACAAAACTAAGGAAACTGATAACAAAAACACATAGAGGCAAACAGAAAAAGGAAACATACTTTGTTACTCATTTTAAGAAGTCGATTCAGATAGCAAGTTTTACTTTTGAAACATGTTTTTTTCCTTTAGTCAATATTTTTGTTCTGTCAATTTCTTAATTTTTGTTTGACCGTCACAGTGATTTTCTTGATCATTTTAAGAATCTGATTCAGATCGTAAGTTTTTCTTTTGAAACAAATGTTTTTTCTCTCAATGTCTTAAAATTTGTTTGCTCTCCAAAGTGTTTTTCTTGATCCTATTGGCACAAATCTAATCCCATATGGTTGTCCTCTCAGGGTCTTCTGGTTGCCATCTTGTACTGTTTTGTCAACAAAGAGGTGAGTATCCTCAGCTGCACGAAGTTTAATCATCCACAGATGTTTCTGTTCCACCTGCTGATATTTTATGTGGTTTTTCTCTCTCTAAAGGTGCAGTCTGAGATCTTGAAGAAGTGGAAGCGCTGGAAACTAGGCAGGAACATTGAGGAGGAATACCGCCACACCTACAGCAATACCCCCAACACCAAGACGGGCAGCCTGCTGAACCACATCTCCCAGCTCTCTCACCTGCCAGACATCACCAAGTCCTCTCTTCCGGTCTGCAGTCCAGAAGAGACACACATGCTTGTGGCTGGCTGCAACAACGGAATGGTCCACAGGAAAGCAGGAGCTGACTGCTCTTCCCGGCACAATGAAGGAACCAGCAACTGCACGTTGGTGGAGGATATCAGCATCACTGATAAGCTGCAGTGTTATGAGGTGCAGATCGCTAAGGTGGAGAGCCATCTTTGATTGACACATGGAAAAGCAACTTAAGGAGACAGTTGGAAGTTTAGGCTGTTGTCAGGCCCTGAGTGATGGTCCTGGTTAGATGTTAAGAGATGATCTTGTTGGTGGGAGTGGTCTTTAGTGGAGAGAACCGAGTGGTCAGCTCTGAACACCTCTGCAGCAACAGGGTGCTGAATCTTGTGAACGGACCTCTCTAGAAGTTAGACAACAAACCATGTACAGTTGCTGCCCACTGAATAATTCTTCAACAGCATCTGGAAGCAGAACAACATTCAAAAGAAATGTGACAAGAAAACAGGGTTCCAGCTAAAAGCCTCTGCTTTAGTGTTTGCTGTCAGATTAGTGTGTGTTGTGTGGTTCTACACAGACTGGACATTGGACTGTCTGGACACACACACACACACACACACACAAAAGTCTGAAGATGTGTTTTCTATGGTGTATGCTTTGCTCTGGTGTGTTATCTTGTCTTTACTGATCTGCTCTCAGTACCTCATGCGGTAAGGTGACCACAGTGTTAATGTCCATGAGAACCAGGCAGCTGCTCACCCCAGGTCCTCCCTGGCCTGCATAGACTTTTAAAGAAAGCCAAGGTTGGCTCAGAATCAAAATAAGCTGAAGTGACCTTAGTTTAAAAGTATTATTTATGTAGGTCAGTGGAGTGCTACAGCATCAATTGTTAATTTCATCCGTAGTGAAAAAATGAATGAAAAGAATCAAAATACACAAAGGAGGCGGCCTGTAAAGCTGCTCTTGCATGAAACCTGAATCCGGGTTTGTTGCTCAATGTGACAGCGCCTCTGAAACAAGTTTTTTCTTCTCTGTTAAAGTGTTGATGTGCAGATTTACTGCACTGTGGCGCATCGTCCGCTCAACATGCATGCCATAAAGTGCCACCAAATCAAGGCAGATAACTAATGAGTGCATGCACCAAATCTCTCTATGGACAGTGTTAAAAATGCAACCAAATGATGTGAAGACTGAGACAACAGCCTATTACTAGAACAAAACTTCATTAATAAACATTCAGAAGAGGAACGTAGAGGTACATTAGCATGTGGAATAATAAAATTAAGCCACCTGCAAACCATAATCAGTCTGAGTTCCTACAAAACATCCGAACCATCTTAACTTGACTTGTATGTGTAACTATTTGCACAATTTTAATTTATAATTGGTAAATATTGTGTATATATGAGTGTATTCATGCTGCTGATTTGTGCATTCAAATTCCTTTTATGCCTTTTAGAGAGAGAGAGAGAGAATGTGTGTGAATGGAAAGAGTTTCTGTATTTGTGTGTTTTGCAGCATAATGAATTACTATCAGCAGCTAAAAGGCTTGTAAACCAGTGCAGCATGGAGTTCAAAGGTCAAAACAAACCAGGATGTTCCCAGAGGTTCTGCCTATTTGGGGCAAAGAGAAACAGCTCTGTCTTTTGAAGCCAGGCTCCTGATGTAGCGTAGAGCGAATTAGAGCACAACAGCAACATTTTTGTCACGTCAGAAAACTGCTGTGCTTCAGCCAGTTGGTAGAAAAAAAAAGAAAATGCAGGCGAAAGCTATTTTCCATCAACATCTGCTGAGAGTTGTACCAAAGCATGTAAATGTCCAATAATTGCGCTGGGAGCAGGACACACAAACGTGTGCCGCAGCGGTGAGAAGCTCGCACACTCACATGGTGAAAAAGGATTTTTGTACACCTGAAAGGAAAATAAGGACTTAGTAAAAGTAACTTGTGGCCGTGTACGTGTGAGTTTGGGTCACTCCCTTTCTTGGACCAAAGTGGTTCTGTCTGAATGTAATCTTTGAAAGTTTCCAGTAGTGTGTTTCTGTTTCCCTCCTCCTAAAAGGTGGCTGTGTACAGTATTGGTGTGCGTGAACATCAGATCAGTGAAGGAACGCGGACTGAATCCGGGTGTAAACAGGTCATCATATATTGTATTTTCTCTCTGTGTAAATGGTGAAAGAATAAATTTAGTATATGTGAAAGACGGTTTGATGTGAAGTTGTTTGTTGGTGAACTCTGAAGACAAAAACAGGCGACCCTTTCTTTTTTCAGCTGCTGTTTGATGAGCTGAGGACCAGTTCTTTTACTGACCCATCAGACCTCCTGTTCAGGAGGAACTCTTCCTTTAGCTGCACTGCTTGGCCGAGGTTTGAACAACCACTTTTCCACAAAGCACACTTTTTTATTGTCACTGAAGCGTCTTTTCCTTTTGGAATGTTTACGCTGGCGTTGCATGTTGGAGAGCAAAACATTTAAAACACTGTTTAATTTAAACTGGACAGGTTGAGAGACCTTCTTTTGCATCTCACCCTGGACTGCAGGGTGGTCAGGGTCCACGGTGAAAAAATCCTGGGACAATCAGGAGAGACAAGATCCGGAAAATGTTCTCAGGGGAAATAAAAATAAAGTCCTCCTTTTGCTGCAGGGAGAATAAATCCTTTAGTGTTTGATTTGGTGTTCTGAGCTCATTAGGTGAGAAGAAAACAGAATTGTTTTGTTCTGAGGAGATAATTTCACTCTTCTCTGTCAGTGACGGATTAGTGAGATGCTCTGTGGGATTTTCCGACCCATGCTCTTTGTGAAAAAGGCATCATGGCTGCTTCTTCAGCGGTTGATGATGAATGTAAGAAAGGCAAACTTGAGTGTGGTTTCACTTTTTGTCACAACCGTCATATTTTTGAACGTGGTAGATAAATAAAATTGTTTCAACAGTTATGTGGCTGCCTAAAGCAGGACACGGCACAGGCCCCTATTAGAGAAAATAACAGTGCTCCACAGAAAAAAAGGGAAAGTGTCTCTCCTCCCTGCATGATGCTCATGAGGTAAACGTATTGGGGGGAAAGGTCAGAGTGTGTGTTTTCCCCCTGAGGCCTGGGAACTGAGCTCGTGTCCTGATGTGGACAAACCGATTATGTGTGAATGAGCCATAAAGCCAGTGAGTTATTTTCCAACCTCCAGCTCACTGCCAGGCATCCGTGGGTCTCGTGCCGTCATTGGTTCCCTGGATCTTCTGTGTGGCACAGATGGAGACGAAGCGTGTGTTTGCAGCACATCGATATTAAGTGTACCTCTGTGGCACAAAAATACAAAATGTGAGACTGTATTTGTGGCTGGAGTGTTGGGACCAGAGCCTAAACAGCTTTTATCATATGAAGCTGTAATCAAGATATTTTTGTATTTTTTCTTCAGGTTTAAAGAACAACAATTGCATGATGCATTTGAACATCTGATAAAGACGTCGTTTTGTTTCAGTACATGAGTGCAATTGCAGATCTGAAATGGGAAATCATTTCAAAACAAGTGTTTATCTTGACACTGCCCAGTAATGAAATATTAGAAACGGTCAACAATCACAGCGTTTACATGGAAACTAAAACTCAATTCATTCTCTCTACTGGCTCTTTACTAGAGTACCTAAAGCCCAAATCACACAGCAGGATTTTTAAATAGTCAGACAATTTTCAAAGCATAACAGACCACACGTGATTATAAAAGAATCACAGAACGAGCTGTTTTGGTCCTACAGTCAGTGCGTTTACATGCAGCCAGTAACCCTTTTAAAACCCGAATATTCACAATAACCCGGTTCCGCAGGTCCATGTAAACACCGCCAAAAACCCGGATATGCTCATAACCGGGTTTTTAAAAACCCGGTTACTACACCTGGGGTAACCCTTTTCTAACCCGAATGTTTGGTCGTGTAAACGCATACCGGGATATCCCCATCAAAGCGTGTGTTCTGCGCATGCTCTGTTCGCAAGGAATCTTGGTCTTTTGAGTAGCGAGACGTCTTGTATGCGCCAGAACGCCAGAAGTAAACAACAAGTTGGGAGCAACATGGCGAGTCGCGGCACAGCACCACACTTTTGGAGTGACGAGGAAACCTCTGTCTTCATCGGTCTCGTGAAAAGTATGAACATTATGTCTTTTGTTGACGGCCGAAAGTACAGAGACAGCGAAATATGATGCATATTGCGTCTGGACGTAGTCCATACATCCTGACGCTACCCCAGCGTCTGCATTTAAATCGGGTTATGCAAATTAGGGGTAACTCTTTCTATTTATGCTTGTAAACGGGTTATTCTGATCAACTCAGAAACCCGAATACCCAGGCCCGGAGTGGCTAATCGGGAGGGTCTGGAGAATTCCCGGTGGGCCGCGCGATGTTTGGGCCGCATGGGCCGGTGCTCTCGTTTTTGTTTTTTATCATTTTATTTTTTATTTTTTTTGGTGCCGGTGTTCAGTCATGGCACTGAGGCCGCCGGGCTGATCACATACGCTCCTCCCGGCTGTCTCTACCTGCAGGCTGCAGCTCGTTTTTTTTTTTCTTTTTTCCCTATATGCGCCTGTGCGCACCACGTGACCTCGCAGTTGACGGAAAGATGGAAAGTAGAGAGAGCAAGGGTGGCGCGGAGAAGGCAAGAATTAAAAAGAGGAAAGCGCTGGAAACAGATGCAGCTAAATGTGCAAAAATGAGCACCTTTTTTTTCTCAAACAAGCGTGCGGTCTTTAACTTCAAATGAAGATAAAACGGGTAAGGCAAGTCAAGATGTTAAACTTTACCGACTGCAAATCAAGTTAATTGAGCATCAATAATGAATTATATGGCATCATGACATAACGTTGTGTAATATAATTAACAGTATGATGTGACTGATGCCACAAAACTGTCTTGTAGCCCCTCAGAGTCAAACACAAGATCCAGTAGGCCTAATAAGCACCAGGCAGAAACCCACCATTCCAGAGCGGGCATGTACAGGTAGGATTACTTATTGAGTCAGTGAACTGAATATTATTAAAATTTATATGATGAAAACTATCCTGGCTCTATATGAAAGTGTTCTAAAATGCTAGATGATTCAGCATTGATCAGAAAGCGTGTAAAAAAGGAAAATGAATGCTGAATTGTGACAATTTTCACACAATGTAGTGTCAGAAGAAGAGCCAGGAGCCAGCAGTGAGGGTATTGCTCCTGTTGGGATAGAAGGTGAGCCAACTCATGTGCAAACAAGCAAACATCAGTTTCATTATAATAATTTTAATGTCCAAATAATAGTAGTGACCTGTTGTATTTTTATTAGTAAATGCACAAAGCCCACAACAGATCGCTATTAGAATGAAAGTAAAATGAAATAAGCCTGCATATTTTGCCATAGAAAATATTTTAATTGGTTACAAAAAATGTGTTTTCCATATCAAATGTGCTAAAGCTTTACAGATGATTATTTTAATTGTGTGCAGGTGAGTCTAGGGAAACTGGAAAAAGTGTGAAAGGGAGTGCTGAGTCATTTCATTTTAAAGGTTTGAAAATCTCAGAACAGCTGTTTGAACAGAAGGTGGATTGTTATATTGTTAGAGAATGTGTTGTAAAGAACAATGTTGGAGATGTGCACTGATGTTCAAATAAACCTACATTGTAAAGCAACTCTTTCTTACGCTGAATTACAAGGCTTTACCGAGTAGTGTGCTTTTGTAGACTATACATATAAAGTTCTAACATGATTTTAATAATAATTCGTTAAGTGGGCCGGTCTGGGGTCTGAAACTCCAGGGCTGAAAATGTGTCCCACTCCGGCCCTGCGAATACCGACCTTAACCCGATCATAACACAGATATCGGCTGCATGTAAACATAGTCATTGTGTGGTGTAAAGCAGCTTAGCAAAAACTACACACAAACTGATTTCACACATAATATTCCTGGCTCAGATGAGAAATTTTAACTTGGGAGTAAAAAACTTTAGCCTGGCTTTTCACCCTGTATATGTAATTATAGTCTGGCCATGACCCATTGATGGCTCTCAGTCAAGAGTGGAATCTATGTCTGCCTCCACATGATATTGGACATCGAACAAAGTGACAGACTCACCACGACGGATGCCATTCAATGGGGCAGTCCACCATACACTGTCAAAGAAGACGCAAAAGCTACTGCTGCATAATATTCAAATACAAAAGCCTACCTTACGAGCCTTTAAGAGCAATAGTAGTCAAACATTTGCATTTTTGTTTAAATGTCCATTTACTCTTGTTAGTTGGTTTTTCAGCTTGAGTTTTCAGACACCAGCAGCCTGTGTGTCTCACTTAATCATCTGCTCAAAGCATGATGACCTCAAAGCACAATACTCAGCTATGGACACATTTGTCCCTCATTCTCCTTCACTTCATAGTGCAGCCTGCAGAGGTGAGAGGTCTAAATATAAGGACATAACACTCTAGATCCTGCCATGTTCTGCTCACCTCTCTTCTGGCTCTCTTCCAGAAACAGCAGTGCACGATCAGCTCACAAGGCACCACTGCAAAGCACACATCACGCTCCTCCTCGACCATAATTGTTTTCGCCAAAGTAACATTTTTACTGTTCGGGGAGGTTTGTGTGTAGTTTGTGTTGGGATGCTGAACACCTCCAGTGTTGAAATCTAGACCAACCCTAGCAGTGGCAAAAGATTTTGCTTTCATGTTGCTCGCTGCTCTGATTGGTCCTAGCGCTGTCAAATAGCATGCAGAGACAGTTTGAAGGATGGCCGTAGATTCTGCCCCACGACTGGGCTCTGTCAATGGGTGGCGATCAGACTGTGATATACAGAATTGCATGCCAGGCTAGCACACCACACATTGTAGAACCAAAACTGGTACATCTGTGATTTTAATCACCACGCGTGTTCTCTCATGCTTTGAAAACCGGCCGACTACTTATGAATCCTGCCATGTGACCAATGTTTAAAGAAAAGAGATTTCCAGCCTACTTTGGGCACTTGTCTTTTATTCTTCTAAATCAGTGTTTATACTGATGGTTCATTCATCCCACAATTACTCAAAACCATTCATGGTCACAAAATGTATCAGTTTGAAACTGAATGATAATTACATTTGCAAACGTACGAGCAGAAGTCGTTTCTTCACAATAACAACTTCAAACTGCAACGACTTTCTGTCAATGAGTTTGTAGCCAGAACAGCACAATTGATCCCTGCAAAAATAAATAATTAAATAAAATATCATGTTTCTAAACTGGCATGCTGTCACGCAAAATTAGTGTCATTTATCTTCCTTCATAGAAGGTAAGAGAGAGAGAGAGGAGCAGATAGCTTGGTTTGGTTAATGTCCGAGTGTTAGAGCTCATTAGCTTTACTTCAGAGGTCCTCTTATTGTCTCTCTATAAGCAGAACACTGTCCCATGAGTCCACTCAATCTGGGCCAAAGACACTTTACTAACGTCCCCATGTAACACGAAGAAGACTCTCAGCTCACACAGAGACATGTGAGAGTTGCTCCTCACCGCAGCTATTGTGTCAAACCCCCGACGTTGTCTGGTCAGAGGCACAACAAATTAAATCAACTAAATGTGCAATCAGGTTGCAGCAGTGGAAGACCGGATAAGCTGAACAAATCCAATAGCTCAGATAGTGTGGTGTTTTATAGCAGAAACACACTGAGGCAGAGCAAATGACATGGCTCTGGGTAAGTTTACTGTCCTGGCCGAGAGTCCGATTACCCCAGAAACCCCCACACACACACGCACGCATGCACACACACACATGTATGCACACTCGTGCACACGCACGCACACACACATACACGCACACACACACACACACGCACGCACACATGCATGCACACACACACACATGCATACACACACATGCACGCACACATGCATGCACACATGCATGCACACACACATGCACGCACATGCGTGCACACGCATGCACACATAGATGTGCACACATGCACGCATGCACACACGCACGCACACACACACATGCACGCACGCATGCACACACACACATACGCGCACGCGTGCACACACACACACACACACGCACGCACGCACACACACACACACACACACACACACACACACACACACACACACAAATAGGAGACAACAGCTTTATCTGTCAGCTTATTTGCTTCAGGGAGAGAAGAGATGACTGACAAAAATCATTACCTCTGAGTTTGGATTAGTGGAAACTTGCTGGTTTTGTAGACAATCAGAGACTGTAGAAAAAACAAGAAGAGTCAAATTTACCTTTTAAAAATAGTTGACATCATTTGAATGAAGTCTGAGAATAAAATGATTTTATTTGAAGATATAATCCTGAAGTGACTTAACTTGTCCTCTTCCTGAAACAGACGTATTACAGCATTAGAATATAAATAGGAAGTTGAGAAGGAAAGTTTACAGATATATCAATTAAAAGCTTACATTTAACGTCCGATATTCACATTTTCCAGACAACCATGAATTTGATCCCGTGGTGAGGATTTCTTTGCTCCAGAACCTGACTTGGTTGTCTTCTTCAGAGAGGATTAAAATAAGAAAGGACATCCATACCCTTCACAGATACTAATGAAAGCTGGGGTGTAAATGCTTTTGTGATTACTTCAAAAGATCACACATGAACAACAAGGAAAATATGCACCGAATTGGTTCCTTCAACAGATTTCTTTTTTGTGTAATTTAGAACAGGGTTTAGCTTATTTTATTCCTTTAAATTAAAATCAATGACAGCCATAAATGGCTGTAAAACGTTGCATGTGAAGATGCTGCAGAGCTTCTCACAGCAGATGATATGAAAGTAATTTGTCATACTTTAGTCGCCCACTGATTGATTTACTTTGATGCATGAGATGAGTGATTAAATGTGTGGAGATAATCAGTAGATTAATGGATGCTAATGCTGCAGTCATGATGCTGCACTGATACATTTCAGCTGGCATTTGTGATTTGCCTAACAGTGTTTTGGTAAGCAGAAATAATTTCTGACAAGCTGCACAAGCAGGACGTTTATTTTGTGTCGACCTGAGAAGCTTTGTGAAGCGTTTTGCTCTGACAGTCATTCAGAAACACCCAGAGCGCTTGTTTTTACAGGTGAATAAGGACAAAACAGAAAAGGGGTATGGACAGGTAAAAAAGCAGAAGAACTTTAGGTTGCTGCTGAAAATGGGTTTAAAGTGACAAAAGGCTTTCTGACATTGTAAAAGCACAACTCACTGAGTTTCATTCAGCAGCACAGTCCCAAATGACCTTTCCCTGTTCGTTGTCCGTAAACCACTCACTGTGTTGAATCCAAGCTACAACAGCTCTAACAAGCTTCGTCCATTCTGAGTGTCAGCAGACAGCAGAGGCTGCAAGCTAGCATCACAAAACAAATGTCCAAAGCATCGGGTCCATGGAGGGGTCCAGGATGGGTCAGAGCGTGTTGTCGTGGGTCCAACGGCCCAGACCGCTCCAAACCGTTCCTCTCAATGGATCAGAATTATAAAAGATCTGAAGTTCTAAAGACTTGCAAGATGTTGTGCCATGATGGAAACATTCATCACATACCTCACTAGCTCTCTCTTTCTTTTTTGGCACTCCCAGGCACGATTACTAAACAACAAACAGATGAGCATAAGGAACCGCTTTCACAGAGCCTCCGTCCTAAACCTCAGGAAAAAGAAGCTTTTGGCATGGACTGACAACTGTGTTGTTGACTCAAAACAATAATAAATTCAGTGAACCACTGGTCTCCAGTGATTAGGATAGGATAGTTAATCCCTCTCACTCCTGAATATGAGATTAGGTAGAAGCAAAGTCAGACATAGCTCACTAAAGTTGGATTTATTTGATTATTTTTTAAATGAGTTTCTAATGTGGAATAATATTTAGTATCAGAATCAGAAAAAGCTTTATTGCCAGCGCTCCAGTGACCCAGAGCATAGGAACTTGACTCCGCAGCACAGCCTGACCAAGGTTACACACACACACATGTAGACAGAACAGATACAGGCAGACCACGAGAGCAGCCATAACGGCGCTCATTTCAATTAGATGAAAAGGGATTACATGAGGATAAATTGGGGAGGGAAAAAAGGCATTTTAGAGTTACTCCTGGCAGGACGTAGATTTACTATGCAAAAAAAAAAACGCCTCAAACATATAAGCACGAACATCAACAGTTCACAACATGACTCCGATAGGAAGACGGGGGGGATCCTGTTTCCCCAGCGAGAGCAGCCCTGTATGGCGCTCATCCACTGTAGCCACAGGTGGGAGGGAGATCGTGGGAGGAGCGCAGAGCACATTGACACCTGCAGGTTGATGACCTCGCCAGGCTGAAGTCCACCAATCCGAAGGCGGGGGGGGGGGGGGGGGGGGGGGGGGGTTCGGGTTTTCACAGCATCTGTCTGCATTCCTTCGTGGGGGTTTTGTTGTTGGCATTCACAAGGCTGCCATGGCGTCAGATTCGGATAACAAGACTTCGTTTGGGTCAGGCAGAGATAATTTTCCTATCTGCCTACAGGTCTGTAACTGATCATTCAAGTCCTCCAGTGAAGCCAGTTCAGGTTTTAAACATCTCCACACCGTCCGGTGACCCTCTCCGAGATGACATCCATTTTGCGCACTAATACCGGTATCGCAGCTAGAACATTGTCCAGCTTACGATTCACCTCGAGTAGCGTCCCAGTCTGTGAGGTCTCCACACGAACAGTGCTTTCCGTGGGTGCGGGTCGCCCTCCAATCGCTCCCGCCTTCCCAAATTTCCAGAAAACCAGATATCCTCCCACTCCAATCAGAAGAAATCCAGTGATCATCAGGCCAAACATCCACACATCTTCAACGTCCTCAATGGACAACTGGGAGAGGCATACGATCCTCCATTCTTTCCAGGAATCGAGCATATACCCCGCCGGGTGTGTCCCTTGCGGGCAAGTGGGAGCCCCCTGCTCCGTTCTCATCGCTGAAAAAATCTTATCAATCGCGTTGAATGACCAATTAATTAAATCCATTCTAAAAAATAGGGATTTTCAGGAGAAGTGCAGAGAGGCGCTCTGTGGGCTGACAGGACAAAGAGCCTTGGGGAAAAAAAGATAAGGGAGCAAAAAGGGAAGCGTCTGTACTCTGCGAGTGCCAGAAGAGAAGTCCTGGAACATTTAACAAATTCAGCTTTTATCGGATTTTAGGAAAGTTGTTGGGTCGTTGCTTCAGCATGAATTTCTAAATATTTCTGCAGAGTGTTTGATAATTACAGCGAGCGGACTAGTTTGGAACGCCAGACCCATGTTGGTGTTTTTCGGAGGAATGACAGTAGTCTTAATGGTCTGGGAGACTCTCATATTTTAAGCTGCACCAGTTCAACTAGCAGAGCTTATGACTGTGAGATTGTTTAATTAGCTTTTCCGACCTAAAACGTTCTTTCTCTCTGAGGTGACATTATAAATCTGTCAATGCACAGACATTAACTAATAAAGGTGGCGATAAAGATGAAAACACCATCAAGTGTTTTCTCAGCCTGCACGTCTTTCTTGATGAGTTACATCCGGCAAAATGACAAATTTCAGGCAAGGCAGGAAGTTAAATATCATCCCACTTCATCCTACGTAGGAGAGTTCAGATTGAAGACCTGTCGGTCATGCATGGATTTGTTAATTAATAGTAAAGAACGGCTCTCATCAATGCAAAGAAAACACAAAATACCGTAAATCATCTAATATTGACCTTTATTCCATTACCAGCTGGGTCTTCTACGTTAGCCAGCCTCGCTGTCAAATAAAGGCCAGTCTCTAATAGTGGCCAGCTTTACGGCACAAACCCAGCCGCTGTTTATTAACTTTAAAGTACTATTGATCTTAAAGATTTTAATAAATAACATACTTACCCACTGTTAATGAATTAGTCTCACAAAACAAAACGGCATGTCTGATCACGTATTAACAATCGTCACTTCCCATTTCCTGTTCTCAAATCCTGCATGATGTTGTGACTCTCGCATGACTTCCCAAGAAGGGCCCAGCGGTGCGGCGAGGCATGTGCTGTGTGATCACTTGACTTCTCAAAATTGCGGGCGTGACGCAGTGCTTCCACCTCCAGTGTGCCCCAGGCTTTATTTACTTTGTTGACTGGGTGTAAAAATGCTTAAATTCCATGCGATCGGGACAAAAACAAACTTTTTTTTTTACTAAACTAAGACAGAATAGTGCATCATAATCTCTGGCTGCAAGATGAACAGAAAGGGGACAGAAAATGTTACAGTTTGCAGTGATCACTTCATCACAGGTAAGGGTTTACTTTTTGAACAGCTTAGGAACGCAGCGACAAAAACAGCAGGTAAACAGTTTGATACTGTTTTCATGTGTCCTCACTGCAAATAGCTTGTAGAGTGCTAATGTTTTTGGCAGTTAGCTCAGTGTTGTAACGTGGAACTGCGGAGGATGAGGATTAAACAGTTGGAGTAATTTTTTTTTTACTTCAAACCAAACGAGAAACGAACAGTTAAACTCTGGAGCGGTAAGGTGTCTGTTGCCTTTTGTTGTGAATCAATAACCTAATTATCACCAAGTGTTTACAGTGCATTACTGGCATGTTTGCTTCATTTGTTATCATATTGGGACTTAGCCTGAAACAGCGGTGTTTGTTGGAAACATTCTATATGCATACGTACGTACAATGTCCAATTAAATTCAATTCAAGTTTATTTATACAGCATCAAATCACGACAAGAGTCGTCTCAAGGCACTTCACATGGTAAACATTCCAATACAGGTCAGGTCATTAACCCAATCAGTAAAAAGTTTCCTATATAAGGAACCCAGCAGGTCGCATCGAGTCACTGACTAGTGTCAGAGTCTTTACAGCAATCCTCATACTAAGCAAGCATTTAGTGACAGTGGAGAGGAAAACTCCCTTTTAACAGGAAGAAACCTCCAGAGGATCCTGGCTCAGTATAAGCAGCCATCCACCACGACTGACTGGGGATGGAGAAGACAGAGCAGACACACACACACACACACACACACACACACACACACACACACACACACACACACACACACACACACACACACACACACACACACACACACACACACACACACACACACACACACAAACACACACACACACACACACACACACACACACCAAGTAGTGTTTCTAGGGTTACATTGTGATGTCT